GGTTATTGTTATTTTTATTAAGTCAGTTATTAAGTCAGTGTTTTGTCACAATAGTAGTCTTCAATATCCCTGCATCATTTGTGTGAAAAGCTTTCTCTGTAATCTGTAATGCATGTTCTTCTGGGGGTTTCCCTCTCATTTGATCCAATTTTTTTTACTCCCACAGCCTATTTGAACAATGCAAAGACAAAAAATTGGACCATTGATATCCCTTGATTTCAATAAAATATTTATTTAATTAACATTTATTGTGACTACCCCAAAGTACACTGATACGCTAACAGCAGATACATGAAATACTTTGTTTTATGATTTAAGACAACTGCATTGCTCATACATGTTGTAACAGGCAGGCTATTGCATGAATATAAATAAAATGTCTATTTATTTATAAATTCTATTTTACTTATAGAGCAAAGATGTTATTTTTTGTTGTCAGATGAATGTTTGAGGGTTTTGAGTGTTCTCTTGCTAAAGAAGTTATTTCCTGCACTCTACTCTTCCACTCCAAGGGTCAAACCAATTACTTTGAGATGCATAATTTTGAATGGGATAGTCATTGACATATGATCGCTTCTGGCCAGTAATGAAGATATTCATATCCTCCATCCACCTCACAAAGTTTGCATAACATTTCATTACAGCTTCCCCTGAGATAATCATGTTACCTGAAACCTACAAAGAAAATCAAAATCCAAGGAATAAGCATTTATGGAGGCACTGAATTTAAAGGTATATAATCACAGACTTGATGCTGTACAATGACAGGTTAGGCAGAAGAGGGGCATATATATAGTGAGTGCAAGTCAAGGTACACATGAACAGATTTTGAAGTTTCATATGTACTCTTTCAGCATTGTGGAGGGGATTAAGTTTTGCTTCATTGAAATGATTTCTTAAATTGATTTCAGTTGTAACAGGGAAAAATTGGGCCACCATATTTTGTTCATTACTTACAGTAAGGCCTTGTAGGCCACAATTTGTACTTTATGTTGACTTTTTATTGAAGTGAATAGCCTAACTTAATCATGTGCAACACTTACTAATCCACATACAGTTTGATGTGTTAAAAAGCATCTTCTGAAGCCACTTTGTATCAAATTGTTTATGTAAAAAGATTCTCAAAAATAGAAACATATAGATCTTTGTTCCTAGATCTCAAAACTGTAGCAAAGTTGTGGGTTTTGGCATTGTGGTTTTTGGTTTGTTTTTGGTTTTTTTGTATACAAATGTCAATTTGAGGACTGTGGTAAAGAGGTTCAAGAGGATGGTAAAGAGGTTCAAAAAGCACAGAACAAGTTCAGATGCACAAATATGATCAAATTTCTTTAAAACTGATCAATATTTAATTATTGACTGACCACAGAGGAAGTAAAAATCTATAACATCCTGCTGGTGTCTTGCTAATTAATTGTTCTTCAAATGGATCTTAATATAGTGTGGCTCATTGGCTAGCTGTTTTTGTAGGGTTTTCTTTTTCCAAGTGGCAGCTACACAGCTTGTACTATACAAGATTTGAACACAACCCACCTCTGTTCTTTTGTGAACTCAGATGCTGTATTTAAGATTAAATGAATTTGCTGCAACATGTTTGAAGGCCCAGTGAAGAGTTTTTGCTGAAGTGAAGGCTCAGGGTACATGTATGCTGTACCCAGTGTGCTGAAGAGCCATACTGTTAATGGAGGAATTTACAAGAGATAAAAGGAACTCCAACACTAGGCCACAGTGATGTTGCAAATGCTTGCCTGAAATCCTTGCAGAGCTGAAATTATTCAGATGCTATATACTTGCTTCAGCTAGCTCCTTGTGCCTCCGTGTGAAATTGTTTGCCTGGTATTGGAAGTGTTGGAGAGAAAATGGATGAGTGAAATATTCTTAAATTCTTCTTTGCATAGTGTTTT